GTGATGTAATCAACAAACCTCAATTTATAACTGTTTTAAAGGATGGTCAGTTACTAGTCAGTACGTATGGTTCTGGTGTCTGGTGTGTAGAGTAGAAATGGTTATTATTAATGTCTATATATAAATATCATTATACTCATAACAAATCCAATCCAGAAAGAGCTGTTACCCGATGTACAAAATAGTAATAAAAACCATACTAAATTACACAGGGGCGGATCCAGGAATTTTAGAACGGGGGTGACTATTACGAAGGATTTACCAGGAATTCGAGGAAAAGGGGGGTGACTGTTACTAATGCTATACTGAGAAATTTAATAATAGAGGGTACCTTGTCACCCCTTTAACCACCCTTGGATTCGTCCCTGATTTATTGCCTTAGAATAAGAAAGCAAGCTATAATCTGACGAGCGACAATGAAAAAGAAGTGTAAGATTGTTTTGATTTTGAATGAMGAATAAATGTTTTACACTCAAACGCTTTCCTTTGTAATTGGATGCAACTAAGAGTTTTTGTCTTTTGTTGTTGTTGTTGTTGTTGTTGTTGTTGTTGTTGTTTATATGAGTCATTAAATTATATACAAAAATAGTCTGATCTTGACTGGCTGTATTGCTCGTTAGGGACCATTTTATTACCGGGGAGGGAGGGGGGGCGGTAGTGGTATTCTTGGGATTGGGAATCATTAAAAAACAGTTTCATCACGTTGTTAGCCTCAAGAAGAGAATATGTGACGTCATCAAACAAAAAGACAGGTCATCCTATAATAATCAGAAGAACTACTAAAATCGGCCGCAAAAATTCTTGGAGTGCATGTTACGTCATAGCCGCCATGTTGGTTGACGATCACAAAGCATTCCTCATTAGCTTCTCTTGTTAGATCAAACAACATCGCGGCTGTTACTAATTTTTATTATCATCGATTAGAATATAAAATAGTATTAGCTTTTCATTGTAATATTTATCCACACGCCCCTTGTGGAATTCAGCTTTAGTTGACGTGGCAAGCGTGTTTAAATAAAGTTTTACCTACCTACCTACCTACCTGTTTCGTTGTTATTTATATCTCGAGGGGTTTTGAGTTATGTGGTTACACTTCAAGAATAATCAAATCCTCCTGAATCTGCCTCTAAAGTAATCTAACAAAAATTAGTAACTGTCCACCTCAAAAATACTGCCTGAGCACCTCTACTGGTATGACTTACTCTTCACTTGTTTCGCAGATGGATGCTGATTACGACCCCAGCATGGAAACACAGCAACCAAAAAGGAACCGAAAAAATCCATCCTCCAAATTAACTCGGGCTTTGAATCAAAAGAAACCGCTCTTCGACCCAAGTAAGGAAACAAATATCTTGTTTTCTTGAAATGTTGTATTACATTGTGGTACGATCACAATAGAGCCACAGTGGAAAGACTAAATAGACCCTTTTAGATTGGGCGTAACGTTCCCTCTTTTATACCACATGTCATTCGCTTAAGTATCATTTCTTTGTTTAACGGTTGCGCATCACTATACACAAGAATACGGATACGACTAAAGCAAAGAATCTTATTCTCAAAATCTCCCTCGAAGAATTCTCGATGTACCAATTTAAAGTTCCATTTCTTTACAGACGAGAAGACATTCGAGGAGTATTTTGACGAGTATTATAAACTAGATTACGAAGATATCATCAGTGATCTACCCTGTCGGTTTAAGTACAGAAATGTCTTACCCAACGATTATGGGCTATCTACAGAAGAGGTATGCACGTACTGATGGTTGTGTGGATATACAGTTCGTCTAGGCCAAACTTGGACAACTGGACGAGTGGGTATGGGCTCTYATGAGATATTATTGATAACCTCAGGGTATGGCTAACACAAAGAGTTCACTGCCGCTACACCATCCATGATTCCCTTCACTCATACGAATTACTGATTGAGTATTTATGATCAGTAATCCACTTGCCTGTCTTGCAAATATGGTCATGAACATGATTGAGACTGTAATGTCTTTGTCAGGTGTTGTCTCGTCCTGAGAGGGAGTTAAACCAGTGGGTGTCTGTCAAGAAGATGTCTCAGTACAGGTACATATCATATGTGTTTTGTTAAACATGTGGGTGGATACATAAATCAGTTAGTGATGTGGGTGAATGACAGTGGGTGGGTTAGCTGTGGGTGAAGGGTATGGATAGTTGAATAGAATTGTCATGGGTGGGTAAGTAGTTGAAAGAGATGATGGGAAGGTTTGGTGGAATGTAGGACAGTGGGTGGTTAGCTGTGGGTGAAGGGTATGGATAGTTGGATGGAAGGATGTATGAATACTCTGTGAGTAAATAGCAGTGTCGTCAGGGTGGAACGGTTGGGTGAAGAAAGTATGAATATAGTAATCTGTGTAGCATTATGTCTTGTGGTAGAAGTAACATAACACGAGAAATATAATGGATAGAATAACAAAATAAACATAGAAATACACATATGAATAAACCCATCAAATTCACATATTTTACTTTTGCCACTAAGAACCGATGAAGAAGAACGTCGTGACATTAAAAAGTTTCGTAAGTTTGCCCGAGATGAACGACGAAAACAAAGGATATTTTCTTCCACCGCAACTGCATCAGAAATCTCAACACCAGAAACGTGAGTAAAAGTTTGGTTTTGAATCTTTACAACGAAAAGTGGTTTTATCGCATGGATAGAACTTTGGGTCTGTTAAACAATTCTAAGAGTCTTGAGAATAAGTTTGGGACCTCTTCTCTTTCCTTTGCCCTGTCTCCTCTCTTTAATTCATTACCCCGGATCCCCGACGAAACGTTTAATGAGAGCAAWGCTATCAGGAAATTTTAATTGCCTTGGGAAGTATAGTTGAAAGTTGAAGGAAATAATATTAATTAGAACAATTTTTTTCATAGAAAACAAAGTACGATACAGAAAGACCCAACAGAACAGAAAACTAACTTCACAATAACAGAACAAGAAAGAAAGATAACGATAGAAAAACAAATAACGAATGATACAAAACCACAACAAAAACAAGAGACTAAAACAGAAAGAAAAGAAAAAGGAAAAATATCACAACTGAAAAGAATGGAATGGAAGAGACGACTGACGCCAAAAGAAGCTAAAGAACAAGCGCAAAAGAAGAAACTTGCTCGTCAATTCAAAGGAGCGAAACGGGAACAGTTGGCTGGTCTTACTGTGGATCGACTGGCCGCGTATGGACTGAGGAAGAAGAGGAAAGTTGCAGACTAATATTAACCACAATTTGATTATTAATGAATAATTCTATGTTCGCCATTTTCATATTCCATAATACTTTACATTGTGGGAGTTAACCGATCAAAAACTGGCATAAGATTAAAGATTCATTCATCGAACGTACGCTATACCTGCTTTTGTCTATAAAATACTGATTTTGGTGATGCGTTAGGAGACTAAGTTTCACCTAGAGTCCTTTCTATCTTCCATAATACTCTACATCGTGCATTGGTAGGTAACCGATCAAAATCTGGCTTAAGATTTAAGGTTCATTAGTGGGAATGTACGCTATACCTGCGTGTCAACACCAGATGCAAGGGGGACCATATTTTCACTTGACAATAGACCTCCCTTCCTTGAGTCTAATGTTTTCCTATTTCAGGCCACGCGTCATTACTAGGGTATTGCGGTTTTTTGTTTAACGATTGTTCGTGAGAAGACACATGAATATGGATACACCTCAAACAAAGAATCTTATTCTCAAGATGATGACACGTGGTCTGGAATGGGAAAACATTATGTCCAAGGAAAAGATGTTTATTCACGCAACATAAAGAAAGTAAAACTGATCTAAATAATAAGAGAGACAAGTGAGCGAGGAAGAAAGGAAGGTCAGGACGATTTGGGAAACCCGACACAAATACTGGAATTGAAAGAAAAACCAAGAACGGAGATACTTTCCATAAATCAAGTCCTCCATTTTTTAGCAAAAGTTACGTCTCTTCCAAACCTAAGACTTTTGGTGACCGATATATGGTCGTTGTTTCATTCCTGATCGATATATTATCTTGAGGAGAACTGACTAATTTTTGTGCAGGATTAAGGAGTTTTCCGGTTAGATTCTTACACAGCCCCTCGGCGAAGCGAGAGACTAAAGAAGAGTCTGTTTTTGCGGTGGGCTCATTATCATAAAATGATCCTCTGTAAAGATGTCTATAAATCGCACAGAAAAGAAATAATAGATATGTGGACCATATTTTGACAGGGAAATCTTTCTCGCTTATTTTATACGGTAAATTTGAACTGGTCCACCCCATCTAACCTAGCCAAGAAAATACTGAGCGTGGTAATCCTGTGTCCCCCTAATTTATGCGTTCATAGCGTGACTTCATTTCAAGGAATTTTTAAAAGGGTCACGCTCATTTCCAAGAATCGGTCTGATAGATTCACAAACAACATTCTTCAGCCAACTCCCTCAACTCTCGCCAACATGGAATCGTTTGTGGACGATCTTAAGAASSAAGTCCAATGTTCTTTGTGTAATGATACATTTACAGAACCCAAGATCTTGTCTTGTTTCCATACATTTTGTAAACCTTGTATTCAAAGACACGCCGACCTGATAGACGAAGTCAACGTCTTCAAGTGTCCTCGATGCAAATTAMCAACTTCTTTACCAGAACCAAACAGCGTCGAAGATCTACAGCCTAGTCTACTTCATACAAGAATCTTGAAGGGTCTGGCGTTGATAGAACAAGAAAAGATTTGTTCTGTTTCTGAGAGCCATTCTCCAGCATCTTGGTATTGTTTTGACTGTGATCGCTTGATGTGTCAAGAATGCGAGAAGAACCACTCAGAGTTTACCAAAGATCACAAGGTCGTTCGCCTGGCTGATTTGAAGAAAGAAGATATTGAGTTCGTAATAACAAGAGAAAATCCTTGCACAAGTCACCCTCATCACAGGCTAGAGTTGTTCTGTGAAGATTGTGATGCCATGATTTGCAGGACTTGCTTGATACACGATCACAAGGATCATAAGACAATGTCATTAGATAAGTTTGCTTCGATCAAGAAAGCTGTATTGTCAAGGCATCTGCAGGTACTAGAGCAGTTGACATTAGATGACAAGGAAAAGCAACAACAAGAAAGGAATGCTAACACAGTCAAACAACAAGGAGAAAAAGCAAAAAACGAAGTTAGAGACAAAACCAAGAAGATCATCCAAATTCTACAAGAAAATGAAAGAGAATTGCTGAAACAAATTGATGAGAAGTTGGACACAGTTACAACAACCTTGAATATAATTCATCATATTCCAGCCGTCAAGGAGTACATCAAGAATGTGATGGAAAGAGGACTGGCAAGTGAAATGATGAACATTCAAGAGACACAATGCTCAAAGAAATTCATCTTCAATCGCATTCCACTTTCCTCTCGAGTTGAGTTCGTTCCTAACGAACAGCTGGTGCAAGAAGTGAATTCAGGGGTGGGAGAAATACGAACGTGTTTGAAAGCAGACCATACGAAGAGCACTATTGAGGTGAAATCTGAGACACAAGCTTTAAAGAATGAAAAGCTGGTAGTGACGACTAAAACCTCGACAGGAGAACTCATTCCTGATCCAATGGATGTTATAGACGTTCAAATCAAACCTGAAGAAAATGTGAAACTAGAAAAGAAATATGTGAGAACTGATGGTAAAGTAGAAATTGAATTCATGGCTAAAGTACCTGGTCAGTTGACAGCAGAGGTTCAAGTGAATGGGAATCATGTATCTAACAGTCCACTAGTGGTGAATGTCAAGCCACATGAGATGAGAATAACAGGACAGTTTAACACGAAAGTTATAAATATAGGTTCTAGTTATTTGAGAGGTATAGCAGTAAACAGAGACAACAGCAGGATCGCTGTTGCCAATTGTTCTTCTCACTGTGTCCATGTATTCACCACTGATGGAGATCTCTTACTGACGTATGGTAGTGCACAGGGACAGTTGTCTCATCCTGTAGGTTTAACATTTCTGAATGATGCAGATTTAGTCATAGTAGACCATGGTAATCATAGAATATGTATAGTGAACACTACAACAGGGACATTGGTAAAAACCTTTGGTAACCAAGGTAACAAGGATGGAGAGTTAAGTAATCCATGTGGAGTACACGTTGATGACGATGGTAACATCATTGTGTGTGATCGTGGTAATCATCGTGTTCAAGTCTTCACAAGAGACAGTGACTATCAATATCAGTTTTGTTTGACAACACAAGACAAGTTTGATCCATTTGATGTGATAACACATGACGGACTGTTTTATGTCAGTGATTATAGTCATCACGTTATTCAGGTATTTGAGAAGAAAGGTAACATACCGACTAGAATATCGACGATTGGTGGTCAAGGCAGTGCTGATGGTCAGCTGAATAGACCATTTGGCCTGGCTATTGATAATGACCATCATCTACTGGTGTGTGATGAAGGTAATAACCGCGTACAAAAATTCACATTGGATGGTCGTTTTGTAGGAAGGACTCGTGATGTTATCAACATTCCTCAATGTATAACTGTTTTAAAGTATGGTCAGTTACTAGTCAGTACGTGGAATTCTGGTGTCTGGTGTGTAAAGTAGAATCAGCTATTATTAATGTCTATATATAACCATCATTATACTCATAACAAATCAAAATCAAGTTATCATTCCAATGTTGTACATTTTAGGACTCTTAAAAGTTCGATATGTACGATGTATCCATTCTTTAGTCAGTTTAAGAAGATGAATACCTTATTCTATTAACATCGACAAACTTGTAATACCCATAATGCAGTCTGGTCATGGTAGGTCTCGTGTTCTGTTGCTATGACAACCTAAAAACCGTTTCCCTTATAATTATGCAGTATGATATTCATTCGACAAAATATAGTGGTAAGTTTGCCTTTAGCAATGTGTTCCTGATCATATATTGTTATATAAAGTTTATAGTAGTATATTGTACATTTTGAACTGTCCCATATTCTCCTGACCTAGCTGCTATTATTATTATAGTATGTATATCTGTTCTTAACAGTCGCATATACTTCCGACTTGCCCGCAGCATCTGTGAGTCTGTTCAAACCCACGACAAAGACACTTTTTGGTCCTGACGTGTTTAACACAGTACCCACGACACCGTCGCTCATTAGACACCTTCTTAGCAATATACAAGACCTGCTCGGTCAAAAGGTCAATTTTACAGTTGATGTAGGTCAACATATCGTCTGTTTCTAACTGTACGTTTCTCTGGCACGAGCAAAGTAGACCCGCATTCTGACGCATCTCCAGTACATCTCGATCTAGTTTCTGGATCATTTCGGCCTGTTTGTGGATGATTCTGCGCAGGGCTTTGATGACGTTTTCTTGTCCTCCATCAGTGTTGTCGTCTTGATTTGGATTACCTTTTGCGTCATAACGATGAATTACCTTACGAAGAATTACGAGTTAAGGGAACAAATGTGAGAAGTTGAAGGAAACTTATGCAAGTGAATGTGGGACTTGGTTTGAGGGAAGTACTCTTAGTTCAGTCTCGATGCTGGCATAGAAAGATAGTTGCTTGGCTATTAAGGACAGAGACCAACCTACCTGCTCTTCCTCATCATCGCTTGTCCAATCTACCGCAACTGTAGGAAAAGTCCAAGGATTCTTCGATTTTCCCTTGGCTCCCTGAGGCTCATTGTTGGCAGGATTGGATGAAAGGTGGCAGGCTTTTTTCTTAATGTCTTCAGAATATTCAGCTCTTCGAAACATAATCAGAACCGTGCGAATCCTTAGACATATGACGTCACATATGCAATTATGACGTCAGTGCGCAGTTGGACCCACATTTATCGATACGCTCGGAAAAAGGACCCGAGTGTCTGAGAGAACTGAGAAGTGTATCGATAACATCTCTCAGTTTTCTTTGTATTTCTTTTATGATTTAGACAAAAACAGTTACTGAGGAAAGTATTACGTAGTTCTAGAGCTAAGCTAGATGCACCTGCGCGCGCTAAATACCGTAATAACAAGTCTCAACCCCAGGGCCCGGTTGTCTGTATATAAGTGCTTGAATGGCGGAATTGACTTTGACTTTGAATTTAAACTGAACTCAGATTACCATAACTATAACACTAGATCTAAGAATAATAT